CCTATATGGGATCTGAACCCGTGGCCTTGGTGTTATCAGCACCACACTCTCCTGAGTGAGCCACAGGCCGGCCCAGTGCCATTAATTTATTATTACATCTAACAGGATTACAATTACTTGATGTCATGTAATATTCTACCCACCTTATTTCTTCATTTGTCTTAAAAAGGTCTTCCTATAATTTGTCCAATCAGGATCATAATGTGGTCATATACTGCATTTGGTTGATCTCCTGTGATCTTTTCATCTACTGCAATCTCCTGCCCTCTTAAAGGCATTGATTTGTTGAAGAAACCCGGTTAATAGTTTTCTATAATTCACCACATTCTGGATTTGCCTGTTTCCTTCCAGGTGGTATGAAGTCTTTCATTTTATTTTTATTTATTTATTTTTTTGGCAGCTGGTGGGTAACAGGGATTGAACCCTGGAACTTGGTGTTCTCAACACTGAAGTCTTTAAACTTCTTCCTTTATCTGCTATATTTCTGGTAGCAGGCTTGATTAGATTCAGATCCAATTTTTTTTTTTTTTTTGATCAAGAACGCTTCAAGAATAAATGGATTTTCCAACTATCAAAGACCTTTGAACTAGATGGGCCCTTGCATTCTTCCTTAATCCTAGGATATTTAAAATGGCAACCCGATTGAAGTTTGGCTATCTTCCATGGCTTTGAGTCGAACTTGCAGTCACAACTCACTAAGTGCTCTTCCCGGGTTAGACACAAGACTAAACACTTTATGTATATATGTATATTCATTTCATCTTCTCAGCGTTTCGCAGTTGAGTAAACTAAAGCTTAGCGAGATTGATTAATATAACCTAGTCAGCAGGTGAAGGTGCGCGTTCAGAGGTCGACTCAGAACCCGAATTTGCTAGTCCTTTCTGCTCTGAACTATCCCGCCCCCCAGTTTCCGCATTTCCGGTTTCACAGGCGCTTGTGGGTACCAACCACAAGGAAGTCGTCCCTCTCTGCGCGGCCCACCTCGGCCGCGTCCCATCGAGCCCCACCCCGCCTGGCCCCGCCCCGCCTGGCCCCGCCTCGCCTGGCCCCGCCCCGTCTGGTCCAGGATCAAGACCTCGCGAACTCTAGAAAAACCACACTTCCCAGAGTGCACCGCGAAGGCAGAGGCCTCAGACCGGCGCGCGCTCGCGGACGCCATTTCTGTAGAGGGGGACGGCGGTGCGGCCTGTAATCATGGCGCTGTTCCCGGCCTTTGCAGGAGTTGGTGAGGCCCCTGATAGCGGGAGCTCCAGGAGAGGTAAGCAGACAAAAGGACCGAAGAAGGCACTCGGTGAGTTTAAGAGGCAGTTTTTCAGGCCTACGTCTCGGCCCTCGCCTTGTATTTGTTTATTAATCTGTATCCCAGAGTTCCCCGCGGCGCTGCAAAGCCTTCTGGGAAGGGCTCCTGGCCTCCTCAGAGGTCTGCGGCCCAGATGCTTCTTGTGGGGCTAGGGTTGTAGAGTTATGGAGAGGGGAAGAAAGCTGGGGGAGATGCCCTGGAGTTGGGACTTCGACATTATCATGTTGTTGGACCTCATTCTGTCTCCGAGCGTCGGTTACTTCACTTTTAAAATGGGAATCATGGTACTCCACATCTCAAGGAGACTCCTGATGCAAATGCTGTGTGTTTTTATTACCTCTTTCTTCCTTTCCTGTTTTGCTTTTTTCCGAAATGCTCATTAGGTTCATATATTTTGTCAGGCCTGTAGTAGGGGATTGGAATCCAGAGCCTAATCAAAGTCTCTCTCCAGAAGGGCACTGCTCTGAGGGAAGAGACCTGAGATTTTTTTCTTGAGAGCCTACTGTGTGCCAGTTTATGGCTTTACAGATTTTATTTAAGCCTCAAACATTCCAAGAGGGCCGCATTGTTAAAAATTGAGACATAGTGAATTCATTTAAAAAATAGTTAATCCTGTATCATGTGCTTTATGTGGCAGGGCCCAATTGTGTCTGACACCTGTTATATACTCAGATTTTTTTTTTTGCAGCCATTTATAATTATTGCTTAGGTCCATTATTTCTTTGAAGTTGCAAAGTGGTTATTTTCTAATTTTATCATTTCTCCTATATTTATTAGCATCAGTTATTCTATAAAGAACTATTGGGCCCTGAAATATAGTTCAGGCAGGGAGGACAGGATGAATACATGATTCATTTCCTTTGTCAGTTTTCAGAATAATGAATGTCCTAGCAACTTCTAGAGGTGACCGATGAGGTGTTTTTTGTTTTCATTATGAACTCATGAATTTTTAACATTTATATTTCTGTCCATTGCAGATAGTAGTTTTCCCAGTGTTCAAATTGTCCCATCTTTGGCTAATGGGTGCTTAATCAACTTGGTGCCTGAGTCCTTATGGCATGACCCAGTCATCTTTAATAGCTTCCTTGCTTTCTGTCCCAAAAGATGTCCAGGGCTCATCATCACTTACATATTCTGTTGTAAGGGATGAGCCCTGAACTTGGTCATTTCTCCAAGGAATCCTGGTTTCTTTTAGTGGAAAATGGAATGGATATATTAAAACCACAGACTGGGTGTTAGGGGTATCATCGCTACTGGATTGTCGTTACTTTTAGACTTTGTAAGTGGACAAAACCAGGAAGAGAAAATGCATCATGAATTCATATTGATATTTTCAGTCCAAATTTAAGATTATGAAATTTTTACTTAACTGCTTTGATTTAACTTTCGTGTTTTTTCCTTTGTATGTTCAAAATAACAGTATTCATTGAATGCTAATAGTTTCAGATTTCTTTATGGTTCTATTTGTTCTTGATGTGTGGCCAAATTATTGTGTTTTATAATCACTTGAAATAATTCTCTGTGTGGTTTTGCCACCAATTTGATACACAATTTGGTATATGTGTTACATTTCTTTTCAATATTTAGGGGTCGTTTTTTCTTTTTGATTTGATCTTGTTTTATAATGATGTAAAACATTTACTAGTTCTAAAGTTGAAAATATAAACCAGGTATATTCAGAGAGATAAAAGCTGTCATCTCTGTCCTTCCAGCCTGTTACTTTTCTTCTCCTACAGATTAAAATTTTCATTAGTCAATGGTATCCTTCCATTTTTTCCCCTTAATATAAGCAACTATATTTCCCTTCTCTTTCTTAAATGCATACTATGCTGCATTTTACTTTAAATCCCCGAGATCACTCTAGCAGAGTGTAGAGAGCTTCTTCATTTCTTTTTACTGGCACACAGAACTCCATCATGTGGATGTCACATACTTTGTTCAACCAGTCCCCTATTAGGACATTTGGACTGTTGCCAGTCTTCTGCTGTTATAAATAGAAACACTGTAAAATGCTATAAAAATGTAAGATAGCATTAGTAGTAGTGCATGTAGAGTTTCAATTAAAAAACACTAAACTCCTGGACGAGAAAGACAGGCAAGACCAAAATGATTGAGAGGGGCTCTCCCTTCACTGTCTAGGTACTGTTAATAGCTAGGCCAGGATTTAAGTGGGCATCACATTCGGTAATGAGTCAGGTTGCTCAGAGGCTACGTTCAGCAAGATTCATTCCTTCAACCGGGTATATGGAGTCTCCATTGTGTCACAAGCAGCAGAGAGCCCCCAGTGTCTGATCTCCCCAGTTCTCAAGCTTTTCTTCCTACCTTCAGATTGTTTTATTAGGATTGTGTACCCTAAAACATGGTTGCTTGGGAGTCAAATATTTGGACAGAGTTGGGATGGAGGGTGGTATATCAGTTCATTTAACCTTTATAACAACATATGCAGGTGTATTATCTGTATTTGGGGAAGAAACCAAACTCATTGTCTTTTTCCCCCAAACCTGCTCTATTTTTGGTGTCTACATATCAGAAAATGGCACCACCATTCACCCAAGCCAAAACTTAGGGCTGGCCCGGTGGCGCACTGCTACAGTGCGCCGCTTGGGAAGTGCGGCGGCACTCCCGCCGAGGGTTTGGATCCCACATACAGACCGCCGCTCACTGGCTGAGCGAGGTGCGGGAGCAACACC